CACGTGCTGCAGCAGCTGCGGCTGCGGCTGCCGCAGCTAATTCCTTTGCTGGTGGCCAACACGATATATACAGAGACTGACTTCTTAAGTGAGGCCTGCTGCTGTTGCTTTTGCTGCTGCCTTTGCTGCTGCTGCTTTTGCTGCTGCTGCTGCTGTTGCTGCCTTTTTTCTTGCTGTTACTTCTGCTGCTGCTGCTGCTATTTTGCTACTAATGCTGCTGCGAGTTTTAGTGCCGTTGTTTTCCCCTGCTGCTGTTGCTACTCCTATGCTGTTGCTGCTGCTGCTGCTGCTGCTGCTGCTGCTGCTGCTGCCCTTGCCTTGTGTGGGCGTTCCACGCTGCGAGGTCACCCGGGCCTCGCGCAGGCAGCAGCAAAGAGCGAATTGCGAAAACAATTAATTAATTATATTATTTATTTATTATTTATTTATTTATTTATTTATTTATTTATTTATTATTTATTTATTTATTTATTTAGATATGGATGCATCTCAACTAGAAGAAGATAATGCTGCAACAGCAGACGACGCGCAAGACGTGGCGCCGCGGTTTCACCGCAGCAGGGACCCAGCAGCAGCAGCAGCAGCAGCAGCAGCAGCAGCAGGGGACTCTGCTGCAGCAGCAGAAGAGGAAGAAGAAGATGCAGCAGCAGCAAGAGGCACTTGGGGAGATAGTTGGAGTGTAAGGAAAGGAAGTGCTTTGGCTCTGGACCATTTTGCTGCTGTTTTCAAAGACGAAGTGCTGCCGTTTGTGCTGCCGCTGATCGAGGAGGGCCTGCAGCAGCAGCAGCAGCAGCAGCAGCAGCAGCAGCAGCAGCAGCAGTGGCTGAAGCAGGAAGCAGCAGTTCTTTCGCTGGGAGCTGTTGCTCATGGCTGCCAAGAGGCCCTCAGCCCCCACCTGCAAACAGTTTTGCTTTATTTGCTGCAGCTCTCGAAGCACCCCAAGGTATTTTTTCTTTTTTATTTTATTTATTTTAATTCTTTTTTTGTTTTTTATTTCTCCATTTTTATGTTTTCTCTTTTTGCTTCCTTTTGTTTTCCTCCTTATTTTGGTGTCTTCATTTTCGCTGGCTGTGGCAGTCGGCTTGCTGCTGCGAGATGCTGCTGCTGCTGCAGCAGCAGCAGCAGCAGCATCTCTGCAGCGGTGTCCTAAGCGTTGTGGCTACGACTGCTGCTGCTGCTGCTGCTGTTGCTGCTGTTTGCTGCAGCCGTTGCTGCGGAGCATATCCTGCTGGTGTATATCCCGCTACGCGTCCTGGCTGTGTCAGCTGGAGCACGAGCAGCAGCAGCAGCAGCAGCAGCAGCAGCAGCAGGGAGTCGGGGGCGGGGGCTCTCCGTCTTCTTCTCAGCCGCAGCCGCCGTCGGGAGCAGCGCAGCAGCAGCAGCAGCAGCAGCAGCAGGAGAGCCTGTTCGGGCAGGTGCTGCAGCAGCTGCTGCAGCGGCTGCTGGACCGCAACAAAAGAGTCCAGGAAGCAGCATGTTCAGCTTTTGCTGCTATAGAAGATGAAGCTCGGGAGCTGCTGGTGCCTTATTTGCAGGCAGTTCTTGCTGCGCTGCAGCGGGCTTTGCATCTTTATCAGGTCAATAAGACATTTCTTTTATTTAATTTCCTTTTTTATTTCTTTTCCTCTTTTGTTTTATTCCTTTTGACCATGTTTTCCCCGAAATCCAAACTTTGCTGCTGCTGCTGCTGCTGCTGCTGCTGCTGCAGTTCCCCCGCGTCGTTTCAACTCCGTTTTTTCTGCTTTCTTCGCGATTTGTTCGTTTTATTCTTTTCTTTTTGGTTTATTTGATTTATTTTTGATTTATTTTTCATTTATTTTTCATTTATTTCCTTTTTATTTCTTTTTATTTGATGCATTCTTTCATTTCATCGCTTTTCAACTTTTTTCATTTTCGGCGCCGCCTCCCCTGCGCGCGGTTTCGGTGTCGCTACAGCGCACCACTCACTATTTCCATTCTCCTTTTAATTCTTTTTTATTTTAAAATATTTATTTTAATTATTTATCATAAATTTATTATTATTTATTATTTATTATTTATTTTTATTTGTTATTTGCTGCTGGTTGCTCCTTGTTTGGCTCCTGGACTTGCCTGCGTTGTGAACTTGCTGCTGCTGCAGCTTGAAAGCTTCTTTTTCGGCTTTTAAGTTAAATAAATGATTTTAATTCCAACTCAATTCAAAATGACTCATTTCCTTTGCTGCTGCTGCTGCTGCTGCTGCTGCTGCTGCTGCTGCACTTGCTGCTGCGCAGACGAAAAACATGCTAATTCTCTGCGACGCTCTGGGCACTTTGGCTGAAGGTGTGGGGCCCCACATGTGCTGCTCCCTCGGCAGCAGTTTGCTGCTGGATTTGCTGCAGCTCAGCCAGCAGACGCAGCCGGGGCAGCCGCTGTGTCTGGCCCTCAGTGAAGCTGTTGCATGCATTGCAGCAGCAATGCAGGGAGGTGCGCCGCCTGCTGCTGCTGCTGCTGCTGCTGCTGCTGCTGCTGTGGTTGCTGCTGCTGCTGCTGTCCCTGCTGCTGCGGCGGGTGCTGCTGCTGCTGCTGCGTAGGCTGTTCTGTCCAGGGCTGCTGCTGGTGGGCCTGGGGCCGCTGCTCTTGCCCCCCAACAGCAGCAGCAGCAGCAGCAGCAGCAGCAGCAGCAGCAGCAGCAGCAGCAGGTTTTGCTGCTTGTGTCTGCAGCTTTTGCTCCTTACGCGCCTGTAGTTTTGGATTTGTGTCAGCAGCGAATGAGTCAAGTGCTGCAGCAAATCGAAGCCCAAAACCAGGGAGACACTGTCAGCCTTTTTTCTTTTTTCTCCTTTTTGTCTTTTTAAATTGTCTTTTTAAATTGTCTTTTTGTTGTCTTTTTGTTGTCTTTTTATTGTCTTTTTATTGTCCTTTTATCATCTTTTAATTGCTTTTTAGTTGTCTTTTGATTCTCCTTTAAACATCTTCTAATTGTCTTTTAATTGTCTTTTAATTGTCTTTTAATTGCGTTTTTTCTTGTCTTTTAATTGTCTTTTAAATGTACTTTAATTATTTTTTAAATGCATTTTAATCCTTCTTTAATTGCCATTAAATTGCTTTTTAAATGTCTTATTTCATTGTACTTCTTTATTTATTTTATTTATTTTATTTATTTTATTTATTTTACTTCATTTCATTTCTCTTATTTCTTCTCTCTCTTCATTTCATTTATTTCTATTTCTATTATTTCATTTTATTTCATTTTGTTTTATTTCGTTTATTTTATTTCATTCTTCATCTATTTATTATTTCATTTTATTTGTTTTATTTCATTTTATTCAGTTTATTCATTTTATTTATTTTTATTTATTTTATTTTATTTTATTTTATTTATTTATTTTTGTTTATCTGTTTTATCTTTTTCAAATCTTTTTCAATTTTTATTTCTTTTCCCCCCCCCTCAACCCAACTTCGTTTCTTCCGACTAACAAAATCCCTCAAACAAATACTGAACTAAACTTAACTCTGAATTTAATTAATTTAATTTAATTTAATTTAATTAATTAATTAATTAATTAATTTAATTCAATTTAATTAATTAATTAATTAAATTAATTTATTTATTTAATTTGCTGCAGTCGGTGTGGCCCGACCGCGACACTCTGGAGTGTTCGTTGGACATGTTGAGTTCCGTGGCGGACGCCTTGGGGCAGCAGCTGCTGCCGCTGCTGCAGCAGCGGCAGCAGCTGCTGCTGCTGCTGCTGCAGTGCTGCCAAGACAAAAGTCCTTCCGTGCTGCAGTCCGCTTTGGCTCTTGTCGGCGACTTGTCCAGACACTGCGCTGTGCTGCTCACTCCCGACGTTATCTTCCCCATTGTAACCTGCTGCTGCTGCTGCTGCTGCTGCTGCTGCTGCTGCTGCTGCTGCTGCTGCTGTTGGTCCTGCTGCTGTTGCTGCTGCTGCTGTTGGTGGTGGTGCTGCTGCTGTTGGTGGTGCTGCTGCTACTGTTGGTGCTGCTGCTGCTGTTGGTGCTTCTGCTTGTGGTGCTGCTGCTGTTGGTGCTGCTGCTGTTGGTGCTGCTAGTGCCGTTGGTGCTGCTGCTGCTGCTGCTGTTGTTTCGGCTGGTGTGTGTTGTTGCTTTTGCTGTTGCTGCTGCTGTTTGCGCCGCTGCTGCTGCTGCTGCTGCGGAGCGTGGCGCGCTGTGCTGCTGCCTTTGCTGCTGCTGCAGCTGCAGCAGCAGCTGCTGCACGGAGCCATTTCCGTGGCCAACAACGCGGGCTGGGCTTTGGGAGAACTGTCTCTTCGGGTGTCTCCGGAACTTTTGGATCCTTTTGCTGCTTCTCTTGCTGCTCAACTTATTTTCATTCTCCAGAAGCAAGACATGCACCGCGCTTTGCTGCAGAACGTCGCCATCACACTCGTCAGCCTCCTCCTCCTGCTGCTGCTGCTGCTGCTGCTGCTGCTGCTGCTGCTGCTGCTGCTGCTGCTGTTGCTGCTGCTGCTGCTGCTGCTGCTGCTGCTGCTGGGCGTACTTCTGGAGCTGCTGCTGCGCGTATTGCTGCTGCAGCTGTTGCTGCTGCATGTGTTCTGCTGCTGCTGCGCTTGTGCCTCGCGACGTGCAGCAGCAGCAGCAGCAGCAGCTGCTGCTGCTGCTGCTGCTGCAGGTCGCGAGTGGCGCCTCCATTTAGGCAGCTGCCTCAGCCTCAGAAAGTAGACAGAAGTTTAAGCAAGCCAAATCATTTCCAACCAACCCAAAACCCATTCGCTCCCGCCGCTGCTGCTGCTGCTGCCGCTGCTGCTGCTGCTGCTGCTGCTGCTGCTGCTGCTGCTGCTTGCAGGGCCGGCTAGCCCGCGTGTGCCCCAACCGGCTGGCCCCTTTTCTGCCGCAGTTTTTGGGCCGCTGGTGCGCTGTGGCCAGAACTGCCCGAAACGACTCTGACAAGGCAGGAGCCTTCCAAGGTGCTGCTGCTGCTGCTGCTGCTGCTGCTGCTGCTGTGGCTGCTGCTGCTGCTGTGACTGTGGCTGCTGCTGCTGCTGTGACTGTGGCTGCTG